CAGCATGGCAAAGAACCACCAGCCCTGGCTCTCCACCACCTCACTGGAGCAGGAGGTGCTTCAGAACACCCCAGGAGACATCACCTTTGGGTTTGCAGGCTGCACCAATTTGAAACTACTACCCACACACACACATACACACACACACACACCCTCAAGAAGGAATTTGGTCTACTTTGTTACCCAGCAGGAGAACTGCTTGGAAATCCTGCCTCAAGTTTCCACCAGCCTGGAACCTTGTGCAGTCCCTGCATTTCCCCCCACTAGCAAGCAACCTCTGCAGACTTTCATTTCAATGCATCAAGGAAGAGCATTTGATTTAGTATTGAAGTTCTTTTTATGTTATGCGGAGGTAAGCATAGCCCATTGGTTGCTCTTTGGAACCCCTGTGAATGCAGTTCATCCAAGGCCTCTCTCTCTCTCAGCCCTGTCAGTCTCTGCCCTTTCCTTCCTGTTCTCCTGTCACCTCCTTGATAACATCTTGCATTTCAGCACTTCTTCACTTCTGCTTCTAGCTGTCCATAGTGAACCTCAGGACTATTTCCATTCCTAAAGCTTCCCAGAAAAAAGAACTCCCAACTCCAATAGCTTCCAAACGCTATGAGAAATGTGAAGGTTCTTCCACTGAGGGGAGAGGAACAGATTAAAATGAGATGATAACCAATAAAATTTGGAAGTTTTATTTTGAAGACATCTAAGGAGACACACACCCTTTGACAGCAAAACCAAGATCCAGATGTCAAAGTCCACAATGGAGCACATGAACATACAAGTATGAAAACTGAAGAGTTTTCTTTAACAGTAGTAGAATAGCAGCTTACAGGGCTGCTTCCAAACAGGCATATGTTAATTCTGTGTACAGTGAAGACAGCATGCACAGAACACAGTACTGTGCACATATCTGAGAATCTTGACTTGCATTTCTTAAAAAAAGAAGGAAAACACATTTCTTCTTAATGCTGGGCAGCATTCAAACATTCAGTCCCTGACCTGCCATCTGAAGTGGCACAGAAGAGCAAGAACTTGCTCATGAGATCCCCTGATAGATTCAACAAAGCAATCTGGCAGGATACTGAAATTTAATTCCACACTGTGAAAGGAAAGAGCATTTCAAGTGCTAGCCCACAGGCATGCAGATTTCATGCAACCAGGAGAATCCACTTTTCCACAGTTCATGTTGAAAACTGGCAGACACAGTTGTGCCAGAGGACTGGGATCATGGGGTTTGTGGGCAGCAGCACTGTGAACCAATAGCCTCCACTGGCCTTCAAATTTACATCTGGTCTTCACCCTGAGATCCTCAAGACACAGCCAGGGGGCAAGTAACGCTTATTCCTGATTATTTAAAACCAGCTGTTACTGGAAAACACTTGCTGCCCTTCAAAGTGCCCAGCCCATTTCTACAGCCATACAGTTGGATCTGATAGGATCAAGAGCTCATGACCTGAAGGGGAAATCTGGTAGTGAAACCAGGAATCTTCTGCCAAGGAGGCCCATCCACTACAAGCGGCCTGAATATCCAGCTTAGCCTTGGCTTGTGAGAGCTTGGAAGTTAAGCAGGGTTGGCCATGGTTAGTTCTTGGATGGGAGACCACGAAGGAAGACAGGGAGGAAGGTGATGGCAAACCACCTCTGCTTGTCTCTGGCCCGGAATTCCCAGCAGAGGGGGTTGCCATGAGTCAGCTGCGAGTGGATGGCATGTCCTTCTTGTTCATCTACTACAGGCTCTATCTAGTCATGCCTACATTTCTTTTAAAAAAGAAAACAAAGCAGCCTGACCCTTCAGAAAGCAGACCAAAAACTTTATCTCAGGTTTCTTCCCTACCACAGAATCCCGTGGTCCACAGAGCTGGGCAATCCTGGGATCAGCTCCAAGACAGCCGTGAGGCCTTTTCACTACAAAAATGCAACACAAACAAACAAAAAAAGATACCCTATTAAAAAAAAACCCACAATATTAAAATGCCCCCCCGAGACTTGCCCTTTAAATAAGTAATTCTAGAAGGCACCAGAAGGCTCAAGTCCATTCTTCAACGCAGCTCATCTCCCCCGTTCTGCCCTTCCTTTAGTTCATCTTGTAACAGTAGGCCCCAAACTTCCCATGTTTGGGAAAGCCAAAGCTTCTGACTCCTGGTTCTGGTGGACCACACTTGGGACGGGGAGAGACAATGGGGTACCGCACACTTCCATCAGCCAGCCAGCCAGCATTGCAATGGTCCAGCTTATGGAACTGCCAGGCCGAATAGAGCTGGCCCACCTTTGCAATCTCAGCCTTGTCATCCTGGCATGCTTGCTTGGCTTCTTCCAGGGTGAACTTCTGTGCCTGAGACAGGTAGTAAACCTCCCCTGTTGGGGGAAGGAGAGAACATGTTACTGGAAAGCAATAACCATGTGCTGTCAGTCACAAACATAGGGAAGTGGCAAATCCCCTCCATGTGGTACGGGTGGTGTAGTAGCTAGAGTGCTGGACTAGAGATCTAGGGGACTGAAGGTTTGAATCCCCACTCTGGTATGGAAGCTCACCAGGTGACTCCTCCAGACATAGTGTTCCCTCTCAGCTTAACCTATCTCATATAGTTGAGAAGATCAAATGGAGGAGAAGGATGTAAGCTAATTTGGGTCTCAGCTGGGGAGAAACACACATACTTAAGTGCCATAAAGTTGCAACTGAATATGGTGATCCCAGCAAGGGGCTTTCAAGGCATCGGAGAAGCAGAGGTGGTTGGCCATTTCCTTCCTCTGCAGACTCTTCCTTAGTGGTCTCCCATCCAAGTATTGACCCAGTTTAGCTTTCGCAATCTGATGAGATCAGGCTAAGCCATGCCACCTTCCCTCCCACTGGGGAGAAAGGCATGGTATACGTGAAATAAATAAATCAGGGCCATAGCAAACCTTCCTAGGTTCCTGGTGCCCAAGTGGGGCTTCAGAGAAACCAGCAGTTTAATAGGATATGTATCTATATCTCAGTTGCCGAGCTCAAGCGCCTCTGTTTCTCTTGTAGTATAGCTAGGGCTTTTTTTGTAGAAAAAGACCAGCAGGAACTCTTTAGCATAATAGGCCACACCCAACAGCAGAAACTCATTAGCCTATTAGGCCACACCCCGACAGCACAGCTCATTAGCACATTAGGCCACACCCCCATGTTACCAGAAGTGTGGCCATCCAGCCACACCGACTTTTTGCTTCTTATTCTGTTTACCTTGTTTGTTGTCAAAACCCAGGGCTTTTTTTTGTAGCAGGAACTCCTTTACATGTTAGGCCATACACCCCTAATGTAGCCAATCCTAATGAGTCTCTGCTGCTGGGTGTGGCCTATTATGCTAATGAGTTCCTGCTGGGCGTGGCCAACTCGGGAGCCAGCTGGAACTCCGTTCCTGTGCGTTCCTGCCCAAAAATAGCCATCTGAAGACGCAGAGACCTGAAAATATGAAGCTGCCTCATGATCCATCTAGCTCAGTTTTGTTGACTCTGACCAGCAGCCTCTAGATAGAGTCTCAGGAGCCAACCCTGCTCTTCTACCTGAAAGTTTGTTAGCTAGAGATGCCGGGGATTGTACCTGGAACCTCCTGTGTGCAAAGCAGATTCTCCCACGGAGCCACAACCCTTGGGGAAGAGACCATGCTAGCTGGAGAACACAAGATACCTTTACAGAGCAGCAGCAAAAGGCCGCCTTCCTCTCGTCTGAACGCCTCTGTCAAAGTCTGCTGCTAATCAGGGCATTGAGACTCACCTTTCAGGTAAGAGGAGAAACAGAAAACGTCAAAGCGATGCAGGCTCTTGTGGCGCTCTCCGTAGCTCCGGATCCCAGGGGCCATAGCCCTTCCACCGCAGGGCTCCCGGGACAGAGTGATGGGGTACTGGACCGTGCCGTCCGCCAGCCACCCTGCATTACACCAGTCCAGGCCCTCCTCCCACGACTTGAAGAGCTGTTCAAAGGATGCAATCACGGCATCCTGCTCGTCACAGGTCTTCTTGGCCTCGTGGAAATTGAGCACGTAGCGGCCATGGTGGGGCTGGTAAGGGAAAACAACCCCTGTGGGATGGAAAGGGGGTGATCAGTCAGCAAGGGAGGACTCAGAAGGTGCATGGTTTGCTTTGCAGGGGGCATGCCTCCTCTCTCACTCAAACGGCCGATAAGGCTCAAGGGCAACAGTTTGTTGGTGTAGTTACTCTTGGGCAAGAAATCATTTAATTTACTTAATTTATTTTGTCCCCCACATTTCTCACCAGTGTGGACCAAAGCAGCTTACATAATTCTCCCGCTTTATCCTCTCAACCACCCCGTGAGGTGGGTTAGACTGAGAGCATGTGACTGCCCCAAGGTTAGACTGAGAGCATGTGACTGCCCAGCAAGCTTCCATGGGAGAGTAGGGATTCAAACCCGGGTCTACCAGATCTCAACCCAACAATCTAGTCCAACACCACACCACACTGACTCTCACCAGGCTCAGCAGCCGCCCCGAAGACTGGAGGGTGACATGATTTGACCTCATTTTATCCTCAGAATGATCCTGTGAGGTAAGTTAAGCTGACAGTGAATCTACACGTGAAGTTCCACAACTGGATCTCCAGACACCTTGTGTGGGTCTAAAAGCAGCCAACATGGATTGGGACCATGACATTGGGAAGGAGGGGGTTAAATCTACACCCCATTTCTTTCACTGAAATGCCTGTCTTTCTCTCCTACTGGAAAGTGGGTTATTTATTGGGGGAATACAGAGCAAAATATACATTCTTCCTTCCCCATATGGTGGTGGTATGGTTACTCTTTAGGACCAAACTACATAGTGGGAGAACCAATCATGAAATTGTGATATAGTATGCATTTTGGCCCTGAGTGATTAGCCCACAATCACACGGTGAACTTTGCAGCTGAGCAAGGTTTTGAATCCAGATCTCCCAGTTCTAGCCTGACTCTCTCCACCATCTAACACTGGAATCACTGAGGAATCTGGAATCTAAACTGCTGAGTCTGTGTTTCTCTATATATACTTCAGAGAAATACATGCAGCCACTTCACATATGATGCAGTGCACTACATATGAAAAAGTTACAGACTCGTTCAACCATAACGGACCTCAGGATCAAGAAAAAACACCAGCAGCCATTTAGGACCTTAGTAGCCTTTGACAGGTCGTTAAATCCAGAAACCTCAATATCCTTCCCTGCTCAGTACTGTCTATTCCTACTTGTCCAAGGCAGAGAAAGGTCCTGACACCAAAGATGCTTTCACTGGAGCTGCTAGGGAGTGGGCCTCGAAGGAAAAGATTTGCAGCTGCACAATCTGGTGCCATTCAGAACAATCATATGCCAGATTCTCCACATCAGAAACATACAGAATGTGTCTTAGTCATGCATTTCAGACAGAAGGAATAGCTGTGAACATAATTAATGGTGTAGGCTAGTGGTGACACCTGCCGGCCAGAAAGAAGAATAATCTTGGTTCCAACATAAAATGAAACCATGGCTTAAACACTGCTAGTTTTAAAACTAGGACCAAGTTTGCAGGTGATCACTCAAACCCTGGTTTGGCTCAACAAATGCAGCTCTCAGCGCCTTCACTTGTAGCCAGAGAGCATGGTGCCAGGGAGCAAGCTGGGATGTAAGCAATTAAACCATGGTCCCAGATCCTTGCTTGATGAACTGTAACTAATCTTTAGTTTAATTAAACCACAGCTTCAAGTGATGTCTGAACACACTACACATGAGGTCGCCTTATACTGAGTCAAAGCATTGGTTTCTCAAGGTCAGTCTTGTCTACTCTGACCCAAAGGGGCTTTCCAGGGTCTCCTTGTTCTTCCTTCTCCCTCACAAGAAAATGCAACACTGACCGAGGAGTATGAGAGGAGGAGGCATTTCCTTATATGGCTCCCCTTCTTGTTGGCGTCTGAGAAGGGGTCTGAAATCATTGGCACCACTTAGACTGCTAGAATGGAAAGAGCTGTCTGCATTCCACGCCACTCATATTGTCAAACTGTCGAATTTGGCAGTGGGTATAAAATCCCTGAGAATTTCAGCTTCCATTTCAAAAAGAGGAGGTAAGAGGACATGTTACTAGACCTTAAGGATGCAAAGACATATGTTGGATCAAGCTGAATGTGGTGGTAGAATCCTATGTTGGTACAGCAGACTGCCACTTCAAATGCAAGTTAGGAATGCTATTGCTGAAATCTCTCCACACTTAAAAAAACCCTACCTTCCCAGTTATAAGAACAACAACTAGCAATGCACAAAAAGGAGACCTGTCCAGCCTGCTCTTTGATGTGCTGCCTTTCTATTTGCAGGATGTCTATGTTTTATGCAAAGAAATGTAATGCAGTTCATGCTGCCACCTCATTCTGCCACATGTCCAGAACTAGCCCTACTTAAATATGAAGAATATCAGCACTGTTGAGCATTTATCTCAGAAACCAGAGACGGGGCTGAGTAGATTTTCCAGCTATTAAGGGGTGGACCTTCTGGATTATCTTTGGCCCTCCCCCACCATGAATTTAACTGACTGATCAACAGGGCTGATTTCTAAAGCCTGCACATGGGGCAGAAGAGCCCAACTTTTCTCAGTGCAGAACTGCGCAAACTTTGGGCTTCACTCACATTGCTCCCCCCCCCTCACCTCGCAGCTCGAGATCCACAATCCCACTCTCATCTTCCAGCCCATCGATGACCTCGCAGCGGTACTTGCCACCATCGTGCAAGCGCAGGTCACGGATCACCAGGGACACGTCTCCGGAGCTGTCCTGCTGCAGGTGCGTGCGCCCACTGAAGTCACCAAAGCTGCGGTGCTTCAGGCCAACAGCCACCAGCACATCCTGGTCTTTGGTGCTGTCCTCCCGCAGCTTGGACCACTTGATGCGGATCTTACGGGGCTTGTCCAGTGGTGGATCATAGTGGTACTGACAGGAGAGTGTGGCATTGGCACCACGGTGGGTGAAGATGGGGTCACCTGGAGTTTCTACCACCAGCTTTATGCCATTGAAATGAACTGGTAGGGAGAGAAGGAAAGCATTAGCATCACCAAACATGAAGCCACCTTATGCGCTGAATCAGACCACCATGCCATCTAGGTCAGTATCCTCTGGTCTGACCAGTAAAAACTCTCAGGCAGGCAAGGGTCTTTTAAAAACGTTTGCTGCCCAAGGTCCTTCAACAGGAGATGCCGGGGATCAGACCGGGGACCTTCTGCATGCAAGAACATAAGAGAAGCCATGTTGGATCAGGCCAATGGCCCATCGAGTCCAACACTCTGTGTCACACAGTGGTCAAAACGCAGGTGCCATCAGAAGATCCACCAGCGGGGCCAGAACTCCAGAAGCCCTCCAACTGTTGCCCCCCCAAGCTCCAAGAATACAGAGCATCACTCCTCCAGACATAGTGTTCCCTCTATACCTTGTGGCTAATAGCCACAGATGGACATCTGCTCCATGCGCTTGTCCAGTCCCCTCTTGAAGCTCTCTATGCTTGTAGCTGCTTCCTGCAGCAGTGAATTCCACGTGTTCATTACTCTTTGGGTAAAGAAGTACTTCCTTTTATCCGTTCTAAACCTACTGCTCATCAATTTTATTGAGTGCCCACGAGGTCTTGTATTGTGAGTAAGGGAGAAAAGTACTTCTTTCTCTAACTTCTCTATCCCATGCATAATTTTGTAAACCTCTATCATGTCACCCACAACTGTCATTTCTCCAAGCTAAAAAGCCCTAACCTCTTTAACCTTTCTTCGTAGGGAAGGCGTTCCATCCCCTTAATCATTTTAGTTGCTCTTTTCTGCACCTTTTCCAATGCTATAATATTTTTTTTTAATGTATGGTGACCAGAACTGTACACAGTATTCCAAATGAGGCCATACCATAGATGTATACAGGGGCATTATGATACTGGCTGATTTGTTCTCAACCCCCTTCCTAATAATTCCCAGCATAGCATTTGCCTTTTTTATTGAAGTTGCACACCTCTTTCACTTTTCGTTGAAGGAAATCCTGGAGTTTTACCACTGGTCCATGGGGTGCCCCTCTACCATGAGGGAAACCTATTGAAGCCAGCCTGCTGGTCAGAGTTATTGCTATTTTCGAATCTCCTGAAGCCCAGATACTTATCAGCAGGGGTCATTTTGTAGAAAAAGAGGTGCAGGAGCATAACTCATTAGCATAACATATTTGCATATGCCACACCCCCTGGTAGCCAGCTTGGGGGCTACCTTGGAGGTCTTGGCCTTTAGACTCCTGCTTAGCAGCCTAAATTTTTCCTCCAGGACCACACAAATACATTTTCCCACATTGTTGATGCCAACATGTACCACAACCACTGGCTCCCCCCCAGCACTGTCTACCAGCCTATCTAGACCATGCGTAATGTCTGTTACCTTCGCATCAAGCAGGCAAGTCACCCTGCGGTCAGTACATGGGCTTGCAACCAATACTCCCTCTAAGCTGTGGAGTCTTGTGAGCAGAAATTCTACTTTGTGAGCTACTGGCATTAAAGTTGTGAGCGAGCGATTTGGCTGCTGCATAAGTTAGTTTGATGCGAAGACAAAAGTGTGTGAGCCGGAGGCTAAAAAGCTGTGAGCTAGCTCACACTAACTCATCTTAGAGGGAACACTACTTGTAACCCATCTATCTACACATCTAAGAACTGAATCAGCAACTACCAAGAGCCCCCCTCCCTCTCTGCCCAGGGATGGTTCCTTGGTGTGAAAGGATACCCGCTCACCAGCTGAAGAAGGGGGTCCCTTCTGAGGGAACATTCCCCATTTCTTTAGCACGGTGCCCTGTTTCCCCCTGGCCCTCATGCTCCCTGAAAGTGGAGGGGCTGCCATTCTCAGAGTGGGACACATCTAACAAGTCCCTTACTCATGCGCCTCTTCTTCTTCTCCTCCAGGTCAGCCACCCTGGCCTGGAGGGTGCAAACTTATTCCCCGAGAACGAGGGAGCTCCTTGCACGGGGCACACAGCCTCGACTCCTGTCCAGCTGGCAGTCATACGTGTGACACTCCGTGCAAAACACCGGATAGCCCCCAACCCCTTGCTGGCATTCTGCCTTCACAACTGCTCTTTCTAAATAGAATTCCTATTTATGTAGATTTGTTTGTGGAAAGTCTGCTTACCCTATTACGTGCCCTGGCTTCCTCAACCTGCTGCTGAACTTGCAGGGCTGCTAAACTCACATGTTCATTCCCCTTTGCCACTGGAGCAGGGCCTGCTACCTGACAGTGCTTGGGTCTGCTTGTAGGAACCCTAAATAAAACAGCTGGGGCCAAAATCCCACCCCAATGCACATGGGAGCTAATGGGAGTTAACTGATAAAGGAGGATGAGTGAGTCAGCCTCTGGTTGACCAACAACAGGTATTGCTGAAAGGGAGCGGCTCAGGCAAGAGCTCCTGACCTTCCCAGCATGCCTTTTACTTCAAATGCTAATTTAATTTCAAAGGTTGATTTAGCACTTCTGGGCTTGGATTAAAGGGGACTCCAGCTGAACAGCTTCAGCAGTTACAGGAGGTATTTCTTGGGGGGGGGGGGGGGATGTGAGAATCAGCTTTAATTTTTAGCTTTATTTTAAAATTGGACACCCTGTTTTTTAAGACCTAGCTGTATTTAAAACCTAGCTCCAGATTTTTTTTTAATTTGCTTTCCTTTTTCTATTACAAAAACTTGCCTAAGGTTTAGTCTTATCTGTGAACTCACTGTCCCTACTCTCTGGTATTAGTACTGTCAGCTGAAGCTGCCATGCCTTGGAATGTGGGATGGGTTGCCTGGCCTCTGTGTTCCTCCACCCTCCCCGGCACCCTCCTCCACCCCCGCATCTCTGCTGCCTTTGCTATCTGCCTAGTGGCCTTGAAGGCTTGGCTCTCCCTTGTCCGCTTTTCCCGCTGGGAATCTAACTGCTGCTTTTTGCCCGCACTTCTAGGTGCTTGCCTATTGGGTTTGTGATATCAGGGGGTCTCCACCCCCGCATCTCTGCTGCCTTTGCTATCTGCCTAGTGGCCTTGAAGGCTTGGCTCTCCCTTGTCCGCTTTTCCCGCTGGGAATCTAACTGCTGCTTTTTGCCCGCACTTCTAGGTGCTTGCCTATTGGGTTTGTGATATCAGGGGGTCTGGTTTGAAGGGGGTATATCTGTAACCACCATTTTGCCTTTGGTTATTCCTGGCTCAAGAGTTCATGGTATCACCAGTACTGACCTCAATAAACCGGACTTTATCAAGGAAAGCTATTGAGTGTTTGATTGGGAAGCCTGACAGAGAGTCAGGAAATCATCTTACTTCCTCGACCTGAGTCTCACCTAACGATGAGTAGAGAGGAGGACCTGCTGGTACCGGTGACAACCGATGCCACGGTACCCACTACTATGACACCAGAGACTCTGGTGCTGGTGCTGGGGTCTACCGCCCCCCCCTCCACCACTTCATCGATTCTGGTGCCGGTCTTGGAAGATGAAACCATCCTGCGCAGTGTGCATCCCATCTCTCTGAATGCATGGATGCGGGAAGCGGCGGATGCTGAGAGCCAACTGCAGATGATCAAGATCGACAACGCAGCTGCTTTCCCGAGAGGGGCCACCCGTACCCCCAAGGTGAAGCAGCCCAAGCCCAAAGAAGGGATCTGGGAACAGAGGTTGAGGCAGGGGCTCTGCCTCCGCTGTGGCGATGCGAGCCACTTTGCTTCCATCTGCCCGGAGTCCGCTGGACAGCTCAGCAGAGAGAGAGGAGGTGATAAAAAGCATCCGGACACCCCAGTGAAGAAGAGCACGGCCAAGCCAAAGTTCCAATGAGCCCTCAAAGTTAACATTCCAGAAGGGGATTCGGAGGATAGCACCGAAGACGAGGGAGAGCTGGCGAGAAAAGGCAAGGGCCTGCTGTGAGTGGCGTGGAGCAACAGCTCAAGGAGGCACCAAAGATGGTGAGCAATTACCGCCCCCCCCCCTCTTCTTCATGATGGTGACTGCAATGAACCCACGTGTGGGTACGGGCTTTAATAGACTCAGGGTGTGCCAGAGACTTAATTAACCCCACACTGGCCACGGGCCTGGGGGCTCCAGTAGTGCGACTGGCTGACCCCATCATTTTCACCCAAATGTCCATGAAGGAGCCATGTAAATACGAGACTTTTCCCTTGAGAATGGGGGCGGGTGACCACTGGGAACATCAACCGTTCATAATCACCCCGGCAGCCCATTTTCCATTGGTGTTGGGGAGGGAGATTCACCAAGAACATCAAAGGGTTGCAGCCCAGCAGAAAGTTAGGGTGGAAATATGTGGAGCTGTTCAAGGTTACTTGAAAAATAAATGATGTGACTGTGGAGTTGGCCCTTCCTAAAACCCTTAAACATCTGCATCCTATTTTTCACTTCAGTCTCTTAAAGAATGATCCAGGGCCCAACATCTGGCGTCCTCAGCCTTCTGTGCCACCACCACCACCCCCGATGGTGCATGGCGAGCAACATTTCGAAATCTCCCACATCCTGGATTTGAAGATGAAGCAGGGCCGTCTATTTTACTTGGTGGAGTGGTCGGATTTTGGTCCTGAACATTGGGAATGGGTGGAGGCCTCTGATGTTAACGCCCCCCGTTTGGTCCGGGACTTTCATGCCGCTTTTCCTGGGAAGGCTGGGGGTATATTTGTAACCACCATTTTGCCTTTGGTTATTCCTGACTCAGGAGTTCATGGTACCACCAGTACTGACCTCAATAAACTGGACTTTATCAAGCAACGTTGTTGAGTGTTTGATTGGGAAACCTGACAAGTACTTTAATCTTATAGGTATTAGAGCTTAAGTTTCAAGGTGACATTAGAGCTTCCCTTGTTCCAGACCATGTGCCCTTTGTTTGACCCTCTGTTCAATCCTTGCCATACCGCAGTAAAACTAGCCAAGAGCCTCTGAGCCCGTTTAGAACTAAAATAAGCTACACCTGAGTAGTTTGAGCAGCTACAGTTCCGTGCGCCTTGGTGTTTAGTCATGCCGGCCACATGACCATGGAAACGTCTTCGGACAGCGCTGGCTCTTCGGCTTGGAAACGGACCCTAGAGTCGGACTTGACTGGCTTTCGAGCAAGGGAACCTTTACCTTTACCTTAAGTCGTTTGAGCAGCTACAACACTGAGAAAGGACTAAATGTTGGTACCTAATGGTATTTTTAACTATTTGTCCTCATTATTTTAACCCTTTTCACTTAGCCTGTTTTGATAGAAGTTTTAATAAACTTATAGATATATATTTTAAAGTGCCAGTTACCCTCTCCTCACACATCTGCTAAACTCGCCTATTTATTTCCCTGTTCCAGACACTTTATCACTGGAGCAGGGATTGCTACCTTGCAAAGCAGATACTCTTAACACTCAGCCACAGTGGCTCCCATTCCACTGGTGCATCAAGCTCAGTCTTGTCTTGTCTCTGACTGGCAGCAGCTACAGGTCATTCTGACACCTACTAGCCAAATCCTATTTGTAGCCCATCAAGCATGCACACATTTCCCCAAGGAGGCAAACTGCAGTTCTCTGGGGGAAACAGGGTGGTGGTGGTGGTGGTGGTGGTGGTGGTGGTGGTGGTGGTGGTGGTGGTAGAAGGTAAAGGTGGTAGAAGGTAAAGGAAAGCCAGTCGAATCCGACTCTAGGGTTACGGTGCTCATCTCCGTTTCAAAGCCGAAGAGCCAGCGCTGTCCGAAGACGTTTCCGTGGTCATGTGGCCGGCATGACTAAACACCAAGGCGCACGGAATGCTGTTACCTTCCCACTGAAGTGGTCCCTATTTATCTACTTGCAATTTCTTGCTTTCGAACTGCTAGGTTGGCAGGAGCTGGAACTAGAGATGGGAGCTCACTCCATCATGCGGCACCTGGGTCTTGAACTGCTGAACTACTGACCTTCCACAGCCTGCAGTTCAGCGTCTTAACCACTTGAGCCACCGTGGTAAACATGCACAAACACACATGAAGTTGCCTTCAGCTCACTGGTCAAAGTAAGTCTGTATTTTCTACTCAGACTGGCAGGAGAATTCCATGGTCTCCAGTGGAGGTCTTTCACATCACCCACACTGTGTGTTTAAACTGCTGTCAAGTTAGTGTCGTATTATGGTGACCCCAGAGGGTTTTAAAGAACGTGATTAAGTACAGACATCACTGACTACCTGGTCCTTTTTAACTAGAGATGCTGTGGATTGCACCTCGGGCCTTCTACGTGCCAAGCAGATGTTCTGCCATGGTCCCTCCCTAACAGGTTTAGCTGTCTCCCCCCACGTACCACAGCCCCAATCCTAATCTGTCCCCCATATGCCTGAGAATGAAATTTCAACTGGGAGCACTCAGAGCACATCTGGGCCAGCAGGAGAAAGGGAAGAGAAGTAAACAATGTAGTGTGTACTTAGGTCCTGTCCCAAAGATCAGGATAGTTGTACACATGTAGTATCTGTAGAACCTAACTCTGCAGTACCTAACTATCACCTATAGATGGAGAGATAGCACTACTAAGTGACTGGGAAGCAGGAAGGAAAATTTGTGCAGTGGACACTAACTGTAAATTTGGGTTTTCTTGGAAAATTTGGAAGATCGGGGGAGTTTACCATAACTCTTGATAGCGGCTATCAAGAATTATGGTAAACTCCCCTTATCTCCCAAATTTTGCAGCAAAATGCACCAAATCTTGCAGGTCATATCCACTGCACAAGCTGTTCCACAATTGCTCCCATTTGTATGATAAATCCCAAAAACAAAGAACAATTGCAGAAGCCATACAAATCAGTGGACATTAGGGTCACAGCCCTAATGTCAGAGCTATACAGCCCCTGAATCTGGAGGTTCCACTTCAATGGACAAAAAAGAATGCCAAACATGCAGTTTGAAACAAAAACTCTCTTGACTCAGAAAACACCAGAAAGACTCTTGCAGAGACATAAAACATCTCCATTTTTTCAGTGACATTAACATCTCCACCTGGCACACCTTCTCCTTCCCCAAATCTGGGTAGCATGTTTTGCTGGCCCATACTTACTTTCCCGCTCTCCGTTTCCTTTGTCATTCATGACATGATTGTAATAAAAGCCATTGTAGTAAGGGAGGCCACCAAGGCTGCTGTCCGTTTGCAGCAGGGTCACAGCCACCAAGAAAAGGAGCATCACTTGTGGGCGATTCTGGGAAGAGGAACCACGGAACAGCTGTCATCCAAAGAGAAGGGAACAAGATCAGACTAGTTAGTATGCAAGCCTTTGATCTTTCTAGACCCAGGACCTGTTTTCACCCCCGAGTGGCAACAGGGCAGCCACTAACCTGCAAGCATGAGGCAGGAAGTCCCATGAAATCTCACCCATATGACAGGAAGAGATGGAGACAGTGTCCACACAACTAGGTAAAGGAAAAGGTTTCCCTTGCTCGAAAGCCAGTCGAACCCAACTCTAGGATTGCAGTTCTCATCTCCGTTTCCAAGCCAAAGAGCCAGCGCTGTCCAAAGACATTTCCGTGGTCATGTGGCTGGCATGACTAAATGCCAAGGCGCACAGAACGCTGTTACCTTCCCACCACTTGCAATTTCTTGCTTTCGAACTGCTAGGTTGGCAGGAGCTGGAACCAGAGACAGGAGCTCACTCCGTCATGCGGCACTCGGGTCTTGAACTGCTGAACTACCGACCTTATTTTATTTATTTATTTAGATCTGTTCTAATTTTCTGGTCTAGTTCTAATTTTAGTTCAGTTGTAGCTGCTCAAACTACTCAGGTGTAGCTTATTTTAGTTCTAAACGGGCTCAGAGGCTCTTGGCTAGTTTTACTGCAGTATGGCAAGGATTGAACAGAGGGTCAAACAAAGGGCACATGGTCTGGAACAAGGGAAGCTCTAATGTCACCTTGAAACTTAAGCTCCAATACCTATAAGATTAAAGTACTTGTCAGGTTTCCCAATCAAACACTCAACAACGTTGCTTGATAAAGTCCAGTTTATTGAGGTCAGTACTGGTGGTACCATGAACTCCTGAGTCAGGAATAACCAAAGGCAAAATGGTGGTTACAGATATACCCCCAGCCTTCCCAGGAAAAGCAGCATGAAAGTCCCGGACCAAACGGGGGGCGTTAACATCAGAGGCCTCCACCCATTCCCAATGTTCAGGACCAAAATCCGACCACTCCACCACTCCACCAAGTAAAATATCCCCCCTCCCTTAGTCATCTCTTTTCTAAAAGTCCCAGACTTTTCAGCCTTTCCACATAGGAAAGGTGCTCCAACCCCCTAATCATTTTGGTTGCCCTGTTCTGAACTTTTCCAGCTCTGTGATGTCCTTTTTGCAATACGGTGACAAGAGCTGTACACAATATTCCAAATTTAGGATGCCCACAGTTCTGTACAGGGGCATGATAACACTGGCTGTTTTATTTTATTTTCCTAATAATCCCCATCATCATCATAACACACAAGGAAGGCGAGGGCGTTCCAACTTGCCATGATCTGGGCTGTGCCATCAGAGGCCTACTAGGCCCAGGGAGCCTGGCTAGCAGTAGGGGAGGCTGGGGCTACAACTCCCAGAAGCCCCTGAGAGGTTTTGGAGCCAAAATTGACCAATAGGAAAAGAGGAGGGCTTGGAATAAAAGATCTGGAGCAGCAGGAAAAGCTGTTGTTCTTCCCAGGGGACAGAGCCAGAAGGGACTGAGACTGCTGTGGGGGAGACCCTCATCCTGAGGGAAGGGTGAATAGTCTAGTGCCACTTGGCATAGTGAGCTAGGGGCAGTATGTATTTAGATGCGTTAGGGCATTTGATTTCTTTTCTTTTCACCCACTTACTGTTATTATTCTGCACCGTGTTGTTTGACCTCCTATAAAATAAACTATTCTCATTGTTCACTCTGCCTGGTCCTTACGCCTATTATTTGGCCAAAAGGGAGGTCTAAAGGTCTTGGGAGGGTACTCTGGGCCTTCTCAAGGGATTCTAAATCCAGAGTGGTGGCAGTGTCAGGACCCTGGTGAGGCAGAGTGCCATTTGGCCTTGGCAGAGAGAAAAATATATATATTTTTTTGCTTTGGGGCTTAAGGAAGCCCCATTGTTTGAAGGTGCTTGCAAGACAAAGTAAGGGTCTGGTAAGGTGTGGTGAAAAGGTTTTCTTTACGTTTTAGCTGTCAGGTCAACTGGATAGTGAGACAGAGTTAGATAGTGCATGTTCCTCCGATCTGGGAAAGAAAAATCAGAGGACACGCCTGTTGCTAGTACCGGGGGGCCTGACTATTTGTACCAAATGCCCTCTGGGGGGAAGTGATGCACTTCAGGCATGAATCAAAACTGGCTGGGCATTTTGGGTACCTGAAAACTTTGCATTTGTTACAATGCCATTTCTGGTGGCCTCACATGAGGGGGGATATCTCTCAATATGTGGGGTCATGCCAAACCTGTTTAATGAGCAAGAGGCGCCCCAGCAACCCCCTGTGGTTGCTACGGCCATTGGAGATGCCTAGTTGACCCTGGGAGGTGATTTCCATGGACTTTGTTACTGACTTGTCCCCTAGTAAAGTAATCTGGGTGGCAGTAGACCTGTTCTCTAAGCAAGCCCATTTCATCCCATTTAAACAACTGCCTAGTGCAAAGACCCTTTCCAAGATGTTTATGCAGCATGTGGTGAAACTGCACTCAATGCCTACCAAAATAATTTCAGACCATGGAAGTCAGTTTGTTGCTAAGTTTTGGAAGGAACTTATGCAGGTACTGGGTATTGAACAGGGCCTCAGCAGCGCCTACCATCCAGAGACTGACAGCCAAACCGAGCATGTTAATCATGTGGTGGAACAGTTCCTCAGATGCTTTACTAACTACCAGTAGGATGACTGCGCTGAGTTATTGACCTATGCGGAATACAGTTACAATAATGCCACCCATTCATCCACAGGGGTATCACCTTTCAAAGCAGCATATGGATATGAGGGAAGCCCCTTTCCCCATGGTGGGGACCCCCGACCTCCCTCCTGGGGACGAATACCTGGTGGCAGGGTCTCAGGGAACATGAGCCTGCTATCCAAAAGACCCTTGAAAAAGCCAAAGTGGATTATAAAACTCAGGCCGACAAGAGGAGGACCCCTTGGTGGGACATCCAGCCTGGTGACTCTGTATTTGTCCACAAAGAACTTGAAAGGACTCCAACCCAGCAGGAAGCTGGGTTGGAAATACATGGGACCCTTTAAGGTGTTAAGGAAAATTAATGATGTGACTGTTGAACTGGAGTCACCGAAAACACTTAAAGCGATATATCCCATTTTTCATTACTGTCTGTTGAAGCGAGACCCTGGACCGAATGCCTGGAGACCCCGTCCTCCAGCCCTACCTCCACTGATAGTGAATGATGAACCCCACCACAAAGTTGCCCAGATCTTGGACTCCAAACTGAAACATGGGCGACTTTTCTATTTGGTGCAGTGGAAGGACTTTGATCCATCGCATAATGAATGGGTTCAACATTGCAATGTTTGTGCTCCTTTGGAGGGGCAGGAACTCATTAGCATAATAGGCCACACCCAACAGCAGAAACTCATTAGCACCCCTGACAGCGCAGCTCATTGGCATATTAGGCCACATCCCCATGCCTTCCCTTGGCTTGCCTGGGTGCCCCGTGGCTGTGGGGAGCCCAGGCGCGCCCCCCTTTGAGGGGAAGGGAAGGCACTTGCCCTGGCACCCCACGGCTGCAGGGAGCCTGGGCAAGCCAGCCATTGGGACAGGCCGGGGAAGGCACGGGGAGGCTGGTTTCCTGCTCCTTCTTCTTTTTTTTTTTAATTTTATTTCATAAAAAAATCCACCACCAACACCACCCATGTGCAACTTCCAGGCATTGGAGACGTAAATGAAGTTCCATACAGTATTATATCACAATCAATCTCCGTACAACTCTATTCCACTATTAACCTTCCCTCTTAATCTTATAATCAAATTAACCTCTCAATTTCCTATTAACTGACTAATCACCCCAATTTTTTTAAACTTTCCCAAATACCCCACCATCCTTTT